GCAGTAATGTTTGTTGACAGATCAGTATACTGAAGGTTTCTATATCATACAATTTTCGATTATAGATACACTACTATGAGAAATATAGTCCATTCCCGTTGTGAAAAATATATAAAACAATGAGTAAATAAAATTTAGACAGTTTTTAACGTTAATTAGCAATGTTAAATTGTAATATGAAAGTGGTGTTGATGTTTTATTAATATTTTATAACACATCTCGCTAAAATAATCAGTTCTCTAATTTTATTAAATCTAAATCGAGTTAACTGACTAAGGATGCATTACCGTCACTGTAAGTCTATATTCTATTTCCATTCTATTTGTTTAAAGTATTAGTAGTTAATTTAATAATAAAAGAGACATTAAATTTACCAAGCCAACGACTTTTATATGCATTATGAAATCTTAACTTCACTAATCTACACTTCAAGTGTAAATTAATATATAGAACACGCTTGTTCTGAAAATACCTATATAAACTAAATAACTCATAGAGTATTACTATATTATTTATGAAATTTAATACTTTCTGTGTCGAAATTCTGTTTCAGTAATAAGCCTCAAGACTTCTAAATAACTGCTCGAATATTTGTCCCCACAAAATTATATAAATATTCCTTTCCACGAATCAACTAAGTACAATATTTACTTTTTAAGTTAAATTAATTTGTTGAAGTAAAATCATCAAGAATTTACAATTCCACTATTACAAAATTTATACTATATCATTTATAAACATATTTCCTACTAAACCATTTTATGACTCACCCAAAACTCAAAATCAAAAGGGCTGAAGCTCAGGCGCGGGGCGTGCTCCAGAAAAGTCTCCTTGTCCTTGAGACACCTAATCTTCATGGCGACCGTAAAGCAATGAGTTCCAACCACTAATGAACACACGCTAATAAATATTTAACGGGCCAATCGGGGAGACGGTAGGCCGAAACTGTTTAAGTTTTTGTCGCAAAGTGTAAACCGATTCTTCGAAAAGCGGTTAGCTTAACCACTCGAGAGGGTTTGTAGCGGTTTAGAGTTAATATATATTCATGGAGAAGACCGGGTAAAAACTATGTCTCGCGACAAAAAAGTGCTACTTAATTTTGAAAGGTAATAGGATATGCTAAGTGGTTTGAGAAAAAAAAATGCTACTTGTATTAGTTTTAAGGGGTTTTGAATATGTTTTAGACAACGTTTTGCAACATAAAATATGGTGAATACGTGTAAACTAAATAATAAATAAATTATCAAATTTTATGGAACAAAATTCTTTGTACGATTTTATTGCATTTCGTGCCTACATCATGGAACACTTTCCAATACATTTTTTTACAAGCAAGCAAATAACAAAATTGCAAACATGTAAGATTGTGTTTTAAAAATGTCCAATCAGAAAATTTATGATAATTATTTAATTTTGTGTTATTGTGATTTGCTGAGTATTTTTATCAGACTTAATACTTTACTCTGTAACTTGAAACAACAATTAAATTTGTGTACAATAGACGTGTTTTAATGCACGGGAATTTTACAACAATGTACGTATGTATGTATTACACAATGTATGTATTACTTGACTAATAAGTTAAGGAATTATACTTTTGTTTTATGTACCGTCTACAAAAAATAGTATAGAGCAATTTAATATTCAAAAAAGCTAAAAAGAACGAAACATTTGATCGAGAAGATTAAAAAAGTTCCATAAACTTAATAATAATCCCTTACTAGTGCCAACAGTATAAAAAGTGTAGGTCTATTTATTTAATTCTACAGACAAAATAGAGTTTTCTCCGAATTTTTGCCAGATACTGTAATGAAAATTACTAGAAGGAGGCAAAACAACAACAGTATCAAAAACAAACAATCACTCAAGTAGTTACCACGAATTTAAGAATAGATACTATAGGACCTATGGTTTACATCCTCAAATTTGAACAGCTCCTAAATACCTTACATCCATTTCCACGTCTCACGTTTTCCCACGAAAAGACACCACGACCTTTCCGCGGAGATTTCGGGGAGATTTAGTCCACCTAAATTGGCCTCATGGAGATGAATGGTAGTTTTTTCTACGATTTGACAGATTAATTCGTCCGCGACCTTTGTTTTGGCGGGACGGCTGTCATTATGGCGCGGCGTGAGCTGTCAGCTGTCGCACCTGTCTGCTGGACCTCGGCACGACACGCTGAGTTGTTTGTACGAACTTTGACACTGGAGTCAGGTAGGGGACGTTTAATTTACGTGGATTTAACATTGATTTTACACACAGTCGGTGGTTTTCACGGAGATCGGATGGATTTATCCTTTGAGTAAACTACAGCAATAAGAACTATAGATGAATTCCGAATTTTAGCATCGCAGTGTTGTACAACTTTATGGTGTTTGATGGAGTTTGAACCCTTAGGTCTTAGGATTGTAATATGCCATAAGAGTAATTGCTTGTAAAATAAAAACACGTCTGAGGCATTGTGATATTTTTCTGTTTTCAATCTTCGTGTATACAAATACGATTGTGCTATATTCAAAACAGATTTGATTAGGAAATTTTAATTCATCTCATTCCCTAATAATTAATATTTCTAAGATTAAAAACGTTGAATCCTTTTATTCAAGGTCAATATACTTTGATTCTTGCACTGTGTACACAAAAAGTTTTGACGTCTACGCGAACGTACTAAAGAATCCAACTTAATCAGTTTTCATAAATTTTATTCTATGCAGAACGATGATTACAATTTCAGTACTTTTTAAGCTGGAAAATTAACGTTTTTAATAGGTAAATCTAGTACGAGTGGAAACTAAATTAGTCACGTGGCTTGGCGTCGAGAGAGTTCTTCAATAGAGGGAACATTCTCACTTCAAAACCTATACTACTTTGTGCTATTGATGCTTCAGCAAGATGGGGGTCCTGAACCACCAGGCCAACATACCACTAATATCACATACAGTACCAAAAATACATTGGTGACTGACGAGGCTCATACCCGACACTCCACGACCGAAGTCTCGCGCTCCAAACCTTGTGTTTACTGTTTACACCGTTCCCGACATATCGAACCGGATTCTCGCACTTAATCCGTTTAGCTATGACCTGTATCCGATATTCCCACGGTCGGCTTAGCCGGTTGGATTTCCGGTTGGGTACCGGAAGTCGTAAGTGACGTCACCGGTACCCCAGCCTCGGTATGACGGTAACCATGGGAACGTCTGACTGGTCATACGCATACATTACCGGATATCGCTATGATGTTGTGCAATCGCAAGCCTTGGGACGAGTGTCAAACTTGGCGACGTCAGAATTTATTGCTAGAGCTTTTAACACTAACGACCGATCGAAGGTTATTCGTACTCTTTCCTTAGTTTTACCCTAGTTTCTTGTTTAGAGGTAGAGAGCTCTACATGGTAATGGTATGTCATAAAAAATAAATATCCTGTAAATGTTTAACATGGCTGCGATATATTTTTAATTTCACTGTAATTTTTCGCTTTTCGGTATTGTGAGTTTGAAATTTAAACAAAAACACTGGTATTTTTATTTTACTAGACACTATCCTAATATTTTTTACAACAAAACATATGCCTTCTAGATTTTAGTAAAATTGCAATTTATACAATGTGGGTTTTAGGAACCAATTATTGTACAATGGAAAACCATTTAGATATTAGAGAAGTTGTGTGTTATACTAATTGAATTTTTAACCCCGGAAAAAAGAGCAACGATTTTTTATGATTAAGAGTTGGCCAGAATCGTCTCGACTCGGCGTTCAATTTTGGTCGTTTTAATCTGTTAATATCAAGTCTTGAAATTTAAGCATGCATGTGGTTAAAATATCGAATATTTTATCTGCCATTACACATGTTTATAAATAAATCTAAAACATTACTATCCAAAACCAAATATCTTCCAGTAATTCCAATTAAAAAAAACACCCCAAACAAAACCTAAACATTTCACCAACCGCATTTCCCACACCACTCGACGAACGTTTAATAAAGACGGACGGTACATTACGCGCCAAATAAAGTTAAATCCGTGTATAATGGCGGCCAGGTGGCGGGCAATCCCACAACCGGCAATTAGCAGACGACAAAATCTCCGGTACGGGACGTAAGTGGCGGTGCTACGCCCACCCGAATCTAGATAAATTATACCAATTTCCAAGATATAGTAGCTTGCTGCGTGACTACACCGCACGACTGTTCTCTTCTCTGCGTCTCTTGGGTCTCTGACAGCCAAATGAGAGACGTTCCGGTCGACCGGCCGCGGCAATTCACGGAGGAATTCAATATGGTCTGTTTGGATTCGCAACGTGTGAATTCAGCTACATTTTGCGCTGTGTTTGCGGTGCAAGTATTGTACACGTCTTTTGCAAAGGGAGCTGTTCTAACACTTGTTCAACCTAATGTTAACAATTAAAATCCATGCGTGTAGCCCCTGAGCTGTTGGACATAATTTAAGACTAAATTACTTACGTAATCCCGTAGCTCAATAAAATGTTTCGGACATGTTTCGGTGTTAACACCATCGTCAGCTTCAGGTACATAGAGTTATCAGAAGAAACATTTGATTGTTTTATGTATTTATTTGTGCCGTTTCGTACTGTGTTTATCTTCTGACGATGTTGAACTACTGATAAACTCTACATGTACCTGAAGCTGACAATGAGGTCATTTTTTTATGATCTATACAATTTCTGTTTCAACATTTATGGTATCTTGGTACAGAACTGATTTTGGAGTCGTTCCAGCAACTTCTTCACTATACACGTGGCTACTCAGGTAATTTAATGAATTCGAAGAATTTGTTTTTTCTGGGTGTTGATTGTAATTTACTACGGTTTCTAATTGTGACAATCATGAAATTATGTGTATTCAAATCAACAGTGTCTTTTTAACCGCACCGCATGATTCTATGAGTGACGTTGTAGTTCCATGGTGTTCTGGCTATATATTGTGACACAAATCTATTCGGCATTTACAAGAAACGGTCCAAAGCCTACATACCGTGCAGATGGTAGGGGCGAGTGCCAGGTGAGGTTCGGCCGGCCTAGCAGGGTTGGAGGCCGCGCCACTGGTTGGGGTGGAGTTGGCTTCAGGCCTGAAGAACCAAGAAGCCACTGACGCCCACTGTAACAAGATATATACCAATTAGCCACTAATCAGCTAATTAATATTGAATATCTATAGAGTGTTCCAAACAATTATTACGAAGTGTGTAGCATTCGTATTGAACAATTGGGGTTTTGTAATCGTGGATTCTTCATAAATTCTCCGTTGTCTTATAGAGTAATTGTCCAATGTCTCTTAAAATAAAAACATACAGCTTAATTAAATCTCTGATCAGTAGATATAATAGGAGAATATGACCTCACTTTCGGCGTTTTTGGACCTAGGACTTTTGAATTTTTTTGGTGAAAAAACACCCAAAATAGGTAAAATATGATGGTTTTACCCTATTTTTGGCGTTTTAGAGGCTATATGGGGGCATTTTTTGGTTAAAAAATGTTATTAATACTGAAAAAACAAGCCTGGAAATGAAGAGCTTTTTTTGACCACTTTTTTTAAAACCCAGCTCTCGGCACGTGAACTCGGACGCGCTCCCGACCCATAGGTTACTTCTGATCCCCAGCGATGACAAACTAAAAGTCTTATGAAAAAATGTTAGAAACAAAAATTGAGGAACATCTAATCATCTATACTTCTTCCACTGAAAGTTTTTCTCTGACCGAAAAATAAAAAAAATCCTCGCTTACTTACTTTTTCATGTTTGCTTTGAGTAACCTTTTTATATTTTCCTTAATTAATAATTATACAGTGGCATAAATTAAATTATATTTATATTGTATTAAACAGTAGTTTATGTAGAATTTTAATATATAAATTTTATGCTATAAATATTTTTTTTAGAAGCTAGACAAACATGTAAGTGATAGAAGGCGCATCACTTTGAACATCGTCATGCCCCCGACAGTGCCGTGCTGGTAATACTTAGAGTTTGAAACTATTGCTATTGTTGAAATTATATTATAACACATTTACATACAAAAGAAACTGGTAAATGGTTTTAAATTGTTTAACTTTTTATGCTGTATTATTATGTTGAAGGCTATTTTGGTTGCTGGAATTTTAGCTGTTTTGTTGTATATCAAGCCTTTTTTTTAGATATAAGTATTTTTAAACAATAAATCAGACCTTTATTTACTAATGCTATTATTATATTACAATGCATTGGCATACAAATGAAAATGGTTTGATTTATTTGTACTCATATAAAATAATATAATTCTTATGAGTTATAGGGATGTCTGGTGATTAAATCACAAATTTAGAATATTTAATAATGGACTTTTAAAATAATGGAATTAAGTATAGACTTATAACATTTTCATGATAACTGTTTGATTTATTTGTACTCATTTAAAATAATGTTAAAATAGTATTTGATTTTTATGTTGTATTATTGTTTTTTGTTGTTTAAAAGTTGGAACTCATAGTGTACCTAAATTTAACCATTTGTCGTATCTCAAGCAGTTTTTGAGAAATAAGCATTTTAAAACGATAAAGTCACACCAGTAATGCATGGAGTTTGTAACCATTACCAACACTGATATTATGTTATAATACATTGTCATACAAATGGAACCATTTAATTTATTTACCAAATGGTATTCATATAAGTTTTAGATTTTTAAATTTTTACCCTGTATTATTGTTTTATATCAAAAGTTGAAATCAATGTAGTGTGCCTAAATATGTTTATTTACTGTATCTCAAGCAAATAGATAGAATAGGATAAAGAGGTGTTTTTGGTGTTTTACCTATGAGAATAACATGGGGAGATTTTAAGCCACTTTTAAAAAAATCGTGCTTATTTATACATTTCTATATAAATGTCCAACTCCAAAAATATTTTCAATCCATATTAATGTCTGTATCATGTGAGATTTGTACCAGTTGGTTTGAAATATTTATAAATATAATGTGTTGCTGGAATCACCTTAAATGGCAAGAAACACATAGTGTTGGGACCTCTGGTAAAATATTGGATTTTTTCTAGTTTGGATTAAATATTTGTGAAAAATGAAAAAATATGTTTTTTACTCAACTATTTTAGCGTCTTGAAACATGTATTACCGAGGAATCAGGCAAATATTTCGTGCCGAAATTATATTTTACCTTACGTGAGAACTTGGAATCATTATTTAAACTCAGTCCTGCTCCACAGTATCATTGCAGGCTTGCTTCTTGTCCCAAGTGGTGAATTGTGTACAGTTTATGTGTGGTGCAAAGACTGGGTTTTCTTTTTAGTTGTGACCAGCTCATTCCTAAGATGCTAGATGGTATCCACTTTGCCTCTGAACATAAGCAAATTGTAATCTTCAGTTTAGGACTTAAAATTAATGTCGGATGCGATGCCTCTTTAATCGAAATTTTGGGTTGTGATGAGCTCAACCCCTATCACCAATATCAGCATAGATCCATTGAACTATTATGTGTTATTGTACTTTGTGCTGATTAATATGTGTTTGGTAAATTAGCATGGCACAACACACAATCCCACATCTTGCTAATCGTAGTTGGTAGATTAGGTGGTCAAAGTAGAAGTAGGGAGCATTGACTTTCTAACATCAAAATTGGATATTTAGTTAGAGCCTTAGACTGTAATATAAAAATAGATGAAAATGCAAACTCTAAAGGCCCCGACTGTGTTTTATACTTTCGGGCTGGAACAACCTTTACTTGGAATATCGTACATAAATTGTTTGTATACATAAGACTCTTGTAGTGAATGTACTCTTCGACGAAAAGACAAAATAAAGATGAAAACTACTTTATGCAAAGAAGAGAAAGTGATTGTGAAGGGTAGCTACAAACAATCGCATTTTAGTTTCTTGTTAAACAATAACCTGGAAAACCAATACAACATAATGCATTGTCATCCCTCATTGGTATTGTACCTTACAAGCTCTGTTGTTCTTTACTCATTTTCAAAAACATATAAATTACAAAATAAGCCATTTCTTTGTTTATTTTCAATTATTAACTGGAAACTATAGATCTATATTATTGTATGAACATAATTTCTGTATTTCATATATGTAAAAGCAATGAGACCATGCTAAATTACAGGATTCAATAACAAAGGAAGCTGATATTGTGCTATATACCTGAGGGTGTAAATATAGAGGTGGGTATTTCCATAGAGACCTAATGATGAATTAGAATGTGAAAGTTCTATGGTAGAAATATCAAGTATGCAAGAGTGATCATCAGAGGTAACATGGTCATCAGGCAATTCATAGAGAGGGGTCAGTCAGGTTGAACTAGTATATTGCAGTGATTCATCCAATATAGAAACAATAGTTACAAATAACCAGAACCAATCACTGGACATTGTAGTTACCAGTTTTCCTATCCTACTGTTAAAATATGAACCTCATTTTAATATGAGTTGGTGAGTTCATGCCCGGTAACATGAATGTAATAATGGTTCTAAATGTATTTATCTTATTTTATGGTAGATTTCACTATGTGTGCTTACTCTATGGTAAAATTCTTTGAGATCATTTAATATTTAACACACTTAGATTAGTGAATAAATCATCAAAGTGCGATATAAATATGCTGGGTGAAACGTATTAAAACTTGCTTCCAGTTTATCTATTAAAGGATTGTCAAACGTCTCGGTTTTGCTAACTATGACCTGGTGTCCTGAAAAGGGCTCTTAAGACTATAAGATGACAATACATAAAGTTTGGACTATTGACTGTGATGTGAATTTATGCATACTTTGTCATACAAATTTTACACTATAGTATTTTTACAAGTTCTGACTGTGACTGTGATGTGAATTTGTGTGTATTTCATCCCATAAATTTCACTCTATTTTCACTCATTTCACACCACTATTATGATGTGCTGTGCCTGCATGAGTTGAGCCATGAATATCATAGACTACCAAGCTATAAGGACGTATGCTAGAACTGATCTAACCTCTGCCAAACCCTGAATACGAGCCTGGAGGCACAGACTTTGGACCAAGGATCAATAATTGTAAATAGACAAACCTGTGTGATAGGATATAGAACACTGAAAAATAAAAATGTTAGAAACTTTAGTCTTTTACTTATTTACCCTTATCACCCTCTGTTTTGGAGGAAACTGCCTTACAACCAACATTATGAAGATTGCATTAATACTCATGATCTTGGTCATTATAAAATTTATCAAACATAAATCCGTATTTGCCATTATTCATAGACCTTTCCTTGTCTATTATGAAAAAGCTATCCAACACTGGTGGTAAAGACTTTTATATTGATGAAATGAAAAGTCATTATTAATATGATTGTTAAATATAAGGTTTAAAATTTATATTGCCTTGTTTGGATAATATTAGAAAATGTATGTTATTGCATAAATGTTTGCGTACTTTCTAAGTAAAAGCAGTTAATATTTTTATGTTGACCCATTGAGAGAAATTGTATACTATTTGTACTATAAAAAGTCTATTCATGCATATCAGTCCAGTAAAAGTTCTGTTACAATCCAGTCATAGGTCAGTCTCAATTGCATCCATAGTTTCTCAGTCAACCTGTCAGTCATTTGGTTACAGTCTGTTTTCTAACTCTTTATTAACCAATATTGCATAACATTTTTTATTTAAAACACAATATTCTATAAAATTTTCATTGGCCAGTTGTTGTTGATTGTTATAAACAGTACTTGATATACAAACACATACGTTGTCATCAGTCAGGCGTCCAAACAATTAAAAAATATCGTTGAGAAGAAATCGGTTGTTGTATTTAACAACATAAAGGTCGATTCACAAACGGTATGTAATAGTTTAATCATGTCACAGTGTATACAACAACTGACTGTGACTGTGATGTGAATTTGATTAGTTGTGTGAAATGTGTGAAAATAGTGTGAAATTTTTGAAACTGCTTCCAGTTTATATGTTGTCATTAAGCAAGCGTTTAAAAATCCAACAATATCGTTGAGAAGAAACCAGCTGTTGTATTTGACGACATAAAAATCAATTCACACATAACACGTCACAGTTCAATCACATCAGTTACGACACCGTGTATACACCAACTGACTGTGACTGTGATGTGAAT